AAATTTTGGGTTTGACTACTTTGGAGACTAGAAGGCTAAGGTGCGATTTAATCCAGCAATTCAAAATATTTAAAGGTATTGAAATCATTGATATTAAACAAAATCAAACAATGAACTCTATTTGCTCATCAGGTCCTGCAGCTAACATTAGAGGAGCAAAACATCGAATGAAACCTGAGTTGGTCAGAAATTGTTTGAAAAGGCAATATTTTTTCAGCAATAGAGTTGTCGATGGATGGAATAGTCTACCAGCCGAAGTTGTTCAATCTACTACAGTTAAAAGCTTCAAATTAAACTTGCAATCGGTCGACTTAGAAGCAATAACAAACAAGATAAAAACCAAGAAAGCTTACTATCAACGTTTTTTATTATTTAGTGACTGAACTAACTTGTTCATTAATTAATTTATACCGGCTGTCATAGATATTGCCTGGCGCTTTATCTCAACAGCATTAATTAATAATAATAATAATAGACAAAACACAAAAACACACACAGAGCCGGCGCTAGGGTATTTGGCGTCCTAGGCAAAAAAAATTCAACCCCCCCTCCCCCTCCGAAAAAAAAAATAATTTAAAAGAGTAAAAACATAAGTATTAATTTTATCTAAAATGGCATAAACATTATAAAATGGTGGACATATTTATGTATTAAATATTTATTTTTGACATTTTAGGATTTCAGCCACTCAACTTTTATTTACAAGAATAAAAATATTTGAGATTTTATGACATTCAAAGAATAAAAGTAACATTTAATAGAATTAATGAAGACTATTCCTAATATTTAATCGCACCAAAATAATAATAATTAACCTAGCTTATCTCAAGAAATAATAATAAGTAATAATCTAGAATTAAGAATAAAAATTGAAAACTTGGAATATAATATAGTTACAAAGAATAAAAAAACTTGTTTCTGATTTGATGTTTAAATTATTAGAGAATTTGAATTTCAGAAACTAGAAAGTTCATTTGTATTTTGAAAATATGTAATAATAAAAATAAAAGCATATTTAAATTTTTATTTTTCTGGCTTTTTTTGTTGTAAATGTTTTTACAATTTCTTTCAAATTTAATATTGATGATTCTTCGTGTTTTATCGAAATTATTGATAATCCCACCAGTCGTTCTTGTAACATTGTCGACCTCAAATAATTTTTAATTATTTTTAACTTCGAAAAACTTCGCTCGCCACTTGCAACGGACACTGGAAGTGTTAATAGTATTCTTAAAGAAATACATATATTTGGTAGACAGTCAATTAAACGTTGTTCAACTATAAAAGTTAGTACTTCATGTGGTGTCATTTGTTGTTTGAGTCTTCCAGAAAGTACTTTGATTTCATTACAAAGATCCGCTGCACTAATATCTTTTTGAGAACCATGAGTTAAAATTTCTTCTAGATTTCTACAATTTTTCAATAACTCTGCTGAAGATTTTGAACTTATAGAATAAATATCATGAAGGAAGCCAAACATACTGTTATACTGTCGCGTTTGTTCAAACCTTTCCGCAATAGACTGTATAGCAGTGTCTAAAATTTTAAAATAAAATTCAACTTTAAATTTTTCTTTTGGATCTTGCAATGCTTTATCTTGTGTTTTATAATCGAACTGTCGCTTTTTTCTCCTTCTCCCGACATGTTTTTCTTCAAAATTTGTTACTGTTTCTAATTCTTTTGCAATTTCCGCAGCATCAACAATAATTCTTTAAAAGCCTTCATCATTTCTCATTTTTACAAGTTTGTTTTTAGTATTATTTAATTGTTATGTAGCTAGGGGAAACTGGGGTAAAATGGGGTAGTGGGGCAAAATGGGGTTTTGAAAATATACCCCATTCAGAGCCTCAGAGCATCGAAAAAAATATTGGATTTGAAATATCGCGAAAAGAGACGTCGCCATCTTTTACTTTTGTTCACGTTTTCTTCAAGTATCGTCGTTGAGAGGTAAATACAATTTTGTCAACTTTTTCATCTTATTTTTTAATATTATATTTTCAGAAGCAGCTTCTTTGTAATTAAAGCTTTGAATTAAATATATTATTGTTCCTGAATGATATTATATATTAAGCAATTAAGACTCTTATATATTCATGAGCTTTGCTCTGCTTTGTTTTTTCGAACAATTTTATTATGCCTCCTATGTTGGAATAAAATGGGGTGTCTCAAAGGGGCAAAATGGGGTATTTCCCCATTTTGCCCCAGTAGTGTTATTTATCTAAATTATAGAAATGAGATGTGGTTTATATTTAAACGTGATTCTATTTTTTTTAACTACTAATAGACTTAATAGGCCTGCTATAATTTTATTCAATAGGCCTAGGTTCTTTTAATAAATAATACTAATACTTAATACTAGTCTATTTTTAAAATATAATTTTATTGTTGTTAAAATTCAGTTAAAGTATTATTATAGCCTATACTATAGAACTATAAATATAAAATAAGAAAGTCTAGTTTGAGCTAAGTCATCTATGTTGGAAATCTCGTCTAAAGAGCAATTAACGGGTTATTTTGCAATAGAACTTCATACGCACGGGCTTAGAAGAACGTAACGAACTTATAAACGTGAAAAACCAGTTTTTAAACAAGTTTTCAAAACCACTTGGGAATTGCGCATATGATTCTCACGTTATATGTGTAGCTATTTTGTAGATTTAGTTAGTGATTCGCAGTCAGTGAAGTATAACGTAAAAAACGAAATATATATCTCTTAAACAAATAGTGATTCATTTAGTATCTCAGGGAAACATAAAATAAATTCCCCACATCTAAGTCTAAGTAGTCTAGCTAAGTAAAAAAATAATTCTGAAATTTTATTATAATAATAGTAGGCCTATTTGTTTAGTTCTTACTGAATCGTACTTAAATTGCTGATATTAAAGTTGTTTTATTTTATTTTTTCAGATTATTAACTTTGAAAAAAATGAGAAATTACAGAAGAATATATCTGAACGCCAAACTTGGAATGAAACCGAAATGCAGCAGGCCGTACTGTCTGTGATCAATGGTGATCATGGGTATAAAAAGGCAGCTGCAATGTATGGAGTGCCACAGACAACTTCGAACGCAGAGTGGCTAAATTTAAGAAAAATCCTGATATTGAGGATGCTTGCAAAATGAGTAAGTAAATGGATTAAGCACAATCTAAATTTAGGAATTTTTTCACATTTTTAAATATTAAATTAAATGCCAGAAAATAGGCTAAGGTATATGTTCTAAATAAATGAATTTGTATGAAAAGCATCTTTATTTAGGTAATTCTAATTCTAATTTTTAATTTTAATTTCTTTTTCAGCGCTAGGCGCATTCAAAACTATCTTTACATTGGAAGAGGAGGCAGAACTTTTTCAGTATGTTCAGCAGATGGAGAAAATGCTTTTTGGTCTAACCTCCTATGAGCTGAGAAAACTTGCCTTTGAACTGGCTGAAAAAAATAAAAAGGCTCATAAATTTAATAAAGAGTTGGGGGTGGCCGGTTACGACTGGTATCAGGGTTTTATGTTGAGACATGCCAAACATTTGTCACTGAGAAAGCCTGAAGCGACATCTGCAGCCAGAGCAATGGGCTTTACTAAAGTAGCCGTTAAAAAATTTTTAGAGCTTGTTGAGAAAGTCATTGACATAAATAAAATTGATGTCGAAAGAGTATGGAACGTCGATGAAACAGGCATTTCTACTGTCCCTAAGTCGCTGTCAAAAGTTATTTCCACAAAAGGAAAAAGGCAAGTTGGCTCTCTTACATCTGCAGAAAGGGGTCAACTTGTTACAGCAGTAGTTTGCTGTTCAGCAAGTGGGAGATACATGCCACCTATGTTAATCTTTCCCCGTCAGCGTATGAAGGCAGAGTTGATGGATGGAGCATCTCCTGGTGCTTGGGCAGAATGCCACCCAAGTGGATGGATCCAGACTGATTTATTTATAAATTGGTTAAAGAAATTTATATTACACACAGGAGCCACAAAAGATTCACCAGTTCTTTTAATATTAGATGGACATGCGACACACACTAAAAGCATAGAGCTTATTGACATTGCCAAAGAGAATGGTGTCATTCTCCTTTGTTTGCCTCTACACTGCACTCACAAAATGCAACCTCTTGACATTTCGTTTATGAAACCTCTGAGTACATTTTATGACCATAATTTAAGAAAATGGTTAAGAACAAATCCTGGGCGTGTGGTAACGCAATTTCAATTAATTTGCATTCTTTTGACTTGCTGTTTTGTTACAATGTTGTCTATGTTGTATTCTGATGTTTCAACATTTATTTGTAATCATTTTATTTATTTTTGTGACTTTTATAGGGTTTCATTCTTAAGTACCCCATTTTACCCCAGTTTCCCCTACATTCAAATCAACTTTCTTATTTTGTAATATTTTATTAGAAATATTAACTTCAAAAAGAATGTCGTACCATGAAACAAGGGCAACCATGAACTTGAATATGCAAATATATTTTGCAAGCCCTTTAACCTCATTTCGGGAAGAATTTCCTACTGATGTAGTTTGTAATCTTGGATCCTCAAATATTTGCATTAAAGCATCTTAAATTTTTCCGAGATTGTATCGTAATGGTTTTAAAGCATTAATGCGGCTTTCCCATCTTGTATCATTTAATGACTTGACAGTAAAATCTGGAAAATAGCTGCGAAAAACTTGCCAACAAGAAGGTGATCCCGAAAAATAACTATAAATCTGTTGCACCACACCAAAAAAACTTATTGCATCTAAGCTACACTTGCATGCATCATTCACAACTAAGTTTAGTGAATGTGCGCTGCATGGAATAAAAAACGCCCGAGGATTTATATCCAAAAATTTTCTTTGTACCCCATTCTCCTTACCCTTCATGTTGCTTCCGTTATCGTATCCTTGTCAAGGGAGATTTTCAATTGGTAAATTAAAATTTTCCAATTGTTCAATTAATGTTTTTGCCAAAAAACCTCCTGTAGATTTCTCCACAGGTATGAATCCTAAGAGATGTTCTTTAATTTGAACTAAATCCCCATCATGCGATGTTGGTGATTTAGTTCAAAACGAATTATTATTGTCATTTGTTCTGTATGGCTATTATCTGGGGTGCAGTCCAAAATTATAGAATAATATTTAGCAAATTTTACTCTAGTCAAGATATTATCTTTTATAGCATTTGCTAGTATTTGTATTAATTCAGTTTTAATTTCTTGATTTTTAATTTTCCGCACATGTTCATTGATTAATGGGTCAAATAAAGCGAGATACTCAACAAATTTTAAAAAATTACCATTGGCGTTATTGTAAAGCTTTTCATTTGTTCCACAAAATGCCAAGTTTTGCGTAGCCAGTACTCTGACTAAGGCAAATAATCTTTCTAAAATTCGTTGCCAATATTGTTCTTTTTCATTAATTTTTTGTTGGTTAATATGATCAATGGTTTTTTCTGTAGATAAACGTATATCAAGTTCTTTCCACATTTGAAAATTTACGAGATGTGAATTACTTTTTTCATGAGAAGAAAGAAGTGCTCCAATATTCTTCCAATCGTTTAAACCTGAACCTTCTAAAGGTGGCAAACTACTTTTGCTTTTACCAAATAATTTACAACATAAACAAAAAACTACATTTTTTGAAACTGAATATATAAGCCAAGAACGAGAGACTTCTTCTCCGTTTGGTAATGTCCGCTTGTAATAGATCGATGAAAATTTTCTTTTTTGTTCATCTCGATCTCGTGGAAAGTTATATTTTTCAATTTGTTGCGGTCTATTTTTTATAACAAATTGCCGAAAACTGTCACTAAAATGAGTAGGCCAATTTGCAGGGTCACTGTAGTCTGCAGATGATAATATGCTAATTTGAGTTTCAGTTTCAATTTGTCTTGAAATATTAACAGCAGGAGTTGCTTCAGATAGATAAATTTGGTTTTCATTGATATTTACAACTTCATTTTGTTGATTTGAAATATTAGCATTATTAACAGTTTTATCGCCAACTATCACTTATTACATCACTTATCACTTATCACAGTACCTGTAGAATGTGTTTCTGCACGAAAATATTTCAAAATAGCTTTTCTTTGACTTTCTTTATTTTTCTTTACTGATAGTCTCTTTTTCTTAGACATGGTTAAAAACGTAAGAAATGTGTAATTATAAAATATTTACTTATTACTTGCTAGCGTACAATAGTACAGGGGCGGACTGGCCAAATTATTATGATGTGGAAAAATATTTTTAACGGCCCTGTAGGCCAACGAAAAATGAGGAAAAGCAGCAAAGATAACAGACGTAAATTACAAAGTTATGCTTAATTTATAAATATATACATTAATGAATAAATATCGAACAGAAAAAATTTATTAGAATACATATACGTAAAAACAAAGTACTTAACAACGCCCCATGTGGAATAGTCCACATCTTCCACATGGCCAGTCCGCCCCTGCAATAGTAGAATTAAAGTAATACACTCCCTTTTCAATCGATAAGAATATTGTCAGTTAAAACTTATTATAAATAAAATATAAAAGTCAACACTTAACTCTTTCGCTACCGCCGTTTTAACAAAAATCTTTTCGCTGTGACCGCACGTTTTTTTGAATAAAATTTGGATGAAATAACATAAAAAAATATTTAAAATTCGAATAGTATATCTTTTTAAAAGCGTAACAATCTGTTAGCTTTGTTCAATTAATATATTTATATATTAATTTTGTTACAAACTATATATTAAAGTTTGTTACAAACTATATATTAATTGAAAGATAAACAAATGATTACTTGAGATTTTTTAACTTTGTCAAGTGATAACTAATTATAGTTACACATTATGGCTCATACTTGTACTTGATTATGTAGAGAACTAATTAAACTTTAAGAAAAAATAAATTATGTGTTAAGATTTATGCACAAAACAGGATAATTTGTGAAGCATACTCGAAAGCCGCTACCAGCGGCTTGCAGTCATAATAAAAAAAAAAAATCAAAAACCGCTATCAGCGGCTTGCGGAGGGAAAGAGCTAAATTGACATTTATTCAAAGAATCAGAGACAGACAGCAGAAGTGTTTAGTACTCGTTACCAAACGCAAGCGAATGAATGTGAAATAACTGATTGAATATGCGGGCGATCGAATGAACATGAGGAACAGCGAACGGATAATATACAATTTTGTTTGTTGTGTTTATAAATTAAAAAGAAAATATTTACTTTATTTGGAAAACGCAACTCAAGTTGTTAATTATCCCTCATTTTATTAATGTAAACACAGACGAGAGACAAGAAGCAGGAGTCACTATTTAATAACATTACAACACTACATGTTGCCTTTGCCTAAAGCCTGCGAGTGATACGCTAATTTGCCTTGCAGTTTATGCTCAATTACTGGAAATGGAAAATTTCTCATCGTTATATATAATTTTTATAATTATTATAAAATTATAATTTTAGTTACATTTTTTATATTTTATAGGCAGCTGCCTAGTCTGCCTAGTACCTAGCGTCGGCTCTGAACACACAACAATATAAGCTATTCAAACAACAAATTATTAAAACTTAAAAACTGTTGTTTTTTTTTTGCTTTATCTTAATAACTTATTAAAGTTTTTTATTTTCAAAAATCTCATGAACATTTTTTCTTTTAACTTTTAGTTGTTCTGTTTATATAATATTTTTTCTTGAATTTATATTCTTTAGAATTTTGATTGTTTTTACTTTTTTTTTTTTTTATAATTCTTCAAAACAATTTTTATAATTTTTTTCTTTTTTTCTTTTTTCTATGTTTTAGCTTTTCACCGTTAAAAATACTTCATCCATTTGCGATGTCAATGCCTTATATATATATATATATATATATATATATATATATATATATATATATATATATATATATATATATATATATATATATATATATATATATATATATATATATATATATATATATATATATATATATATATATATATATATATATATATATATATATATATATATATATATATATATAGTATATATATATATATATATATATATATATATATATATAGGGCCGGCGCGAGTAGGTGTCACGTGGGGATGCCATTACAATTTTTGCCGACTAAAAAAAAAAAAAAAAAGGTCCTCGTTTTCCAAAATTTGCCGACTGTCATGATGACATTTGCCGACTGTCTAACCTATATCGAAAGGGGGTCCAATAACCTTCTCAATAACCTTCGTCAATAACAGTCGACAGATTTCCTTATTATAATGAAAAATAAACATATATATATATATATATATATATATATATATATATATACATACATATATATATATATATATATATATATATATATATATATATATATATATATATATATATATATATATATATATATTATTATTATTTTATTTATTTAACACCCAATTTACAAGGTAAAAAGAAAAAAAAAGAAAGTTATTTCGGATGACTTTGCTTAAAAACGTTTTCTTCCAGAATTTGCTTGAAAACTCCTCTTTGCTCTTTTGCATTCCAGCACTCTATTGCATACTTCAAGTTTCGTTCAACTTCGGAAGGAATTTTACTTTTAGAAAGTGGTATTTTTACCTTCTTTTTATTTTGAATTAGGTTTTGAAAATTTAATATCTGAAGATGGCATAGTTCCTGAATATCACTAACAAACGAATGTTGAAATAACGGGTGTTGCAGTTGTGAAAAGATAATGTCTGCAGTTGTTTTGTTATTAAGAAGTCGAAGGAACAAGTTTAACTTATTTTGTTGAACACTTTTTGAAATTTCCTGGATTTTAAATAACAAATTCATATAGTTTTTACTATGTTTTGAAACATTTAAAAACGATTTTAGCGCACTCCTTCCAATTATATCTAGCTTTTTCATCAGACCAGGATTATTTTCACATAGCTCCATACCATAAGTTAAGGTGGGGACTGCCAATGATTTTTATATATAGGAAATAGAACTGGGGTGGGCAAACCGGATTCCAGATTGAATAAGAGTTTGAACAACAGCTCTAAAGTTTGATATTTTTTCATCAACATTTGAATATATATATATATATATATATATATATATATATATATATATATATATATATATATATATATATATATATATATATATATATATATATATATATATATATATATATATATATATATATATATATATATAGCCCATATACAGCCCAAAGTCTAAATATATATATAAAAAAGTATATATATAGCCCATATACAGCCCAAAGTCGACAAACTATGTCTCAATAACTTTCGTCAAGTCGACACTTTTTATAAGTCGACAGATTTCCTGTCGACTTTACGTTTGAATGAATTTTAGTAATGATTAGTTCAATGGAAATTTAAAAAAAAGATACCATTGTAATGTCTAAATTATACTCAAGAGATTTCAATGAAAAACGTTAACAAAAAAAAAACGCGGAAAACTATAAACAATAACTTTTTTTAAAAGCGCGTATGTTTACTCGTGTTACATATACGATCTATAGGTCAAGATATTGCATTTTTTGTTTGAAATATAAAGATATATTTATCATATTTTTTGTTTAAAATATAGATAAACTATTTAGTTAAATTAATATACGACCAGTTTAAAAAAAAATTAACATTTAGACATTATATAATATGTTAGAGTTAGGGTTAGGGTCAATATACCTTCCTCGAGTCGCAGTGTTTTCAAGATGAGGGTGTGCTACAACCCTTGACCTCTTCCGTAATCTTCCTCGAGGCGCAGTGTGTTCAAGGTGATGGTGTCTGGCAACAACCCTCGGCCTCTTCCGAAGCATTCCCCGAGTCGCCGTGTGGACAAGGTTTTTCAGGCCCTAAAAATCAACCAGATCAATCATTCAAGTTTCCATATAAAACATTTGGTAAGGACAAGAGACGATGTTTTCAACAACATTGATTTGGCATCTTTCCTGGCTTTATTATAATGAAGTCAATGGCTTCATTATAATGAAGCCATGGCTTCATTATAATGAAGATGATTCTGTTCTACCTATGATTCTGTTCTTTGCCACATGTGCATGTCTAAATATATTGAGAAGAGACTTATCGGAACACATTCTGTTGATATGTTGTTCATTAATAAAGGATTTATTAACTGGAAGAAAGGTATTAAAGCTTTTAAAAATCATCAGTTGTCTGCATGCCATAGAACCGCTGTTGAGTCTGATGTATCAAATTCTAAGCAAGATGTGGGGGAAATGTTATCCAGTCAACATTCAGAACATAAAGTCCACAATCGGAAAATGCTACGAAAAATTATTAAAAACTTTATATTTTTATCTTCTCATGGACTAGCAGTTCAAGGGAAAGTTGAAGATACTAGCAATTTTTATGGACTCTGTCTATTGCGGGCAAAAGATGATCCACTGTTTGCAGACTGGCTGGAAAAAAAACGAAATGCGTATGTTACTCACACAATACAAAATGAAATCTTGAAAATAATTTCCACTATGATTCTCAGAGACATAACTATATCAAAAGTGAAGGATGGCATCTGGTATGCTATTATGGCAGACGAATGCGTCGATAGCAGCAATAAGGAACAATTGATAATTTGCTTGAGGTAGTGACAAACTTGAGGTATCTGAAAATTTCATTGGATTCTATGAAATTGAGAATATCAAAGCAGAGACTATTTTTATTACTATAATGGATAGCCTTTTAAGATGCAATATTGGCATTCAGAATTGTCGAGGTGTTTCGTTTGATGATGCAGCTAATATGAGTGGACTGAAAACGGATGCCGTTAAGCGTTTAAATGATAAAGCAGAAGGACTTGTTCCATTCTCTAATTGTTATGGTCACTATAAAAGCCTTGCTGTGAAATATATTTTCAAGAAATTCCAAGGTATTTCAGTGATGTTGTCTCACATCTCACACAGTTTTCCTCTTCTCAATTATCTTCTATTTCTGAAGTTGTCAAATTGCTAAAGCTGATTCTAGTTACTCCAGCAACAAATGCTGTTAGTGAACGAGCATTTTCAACAATGAGAAGACTCAAAACATTTCTGAAAACGACGATGAAACAGCATAGGCTGAATAATTTGGCAATGTTACACATCTATTCAAACTGTGCAAACCAACTTGATCCAGAAAAAGTGATAATAGAATTCTGTAGGAATCATCCTTATAGAACAAATTTATTCGGATTTTAGTGTATTTATTTTGAACTTGAACCATAGTAGTATATGTGCATACAGTTTTATGTACCTACAACCTAAACTATTTTATACTATTATAAATTATTTCTGGTTATTATCAGCCTTTTGTATTCTCATTTTATATAGAATCTAATTTGTACTATAGTATTCAACAAATACAAAATAATAATATGTAATTTTAATATGTATAACTCCAAAGAAACATATAAAACAATATATATATATATATATATATATATATATATATATATATATATATATATATATATATATATATATATATATATATATATATATATATATATATATATATATATATATATTTATATATATATATATATATATATATATAATATATAATTTTATATTATTGGGTAGAGCAATTTTTACTAAACTTAACAAATCTCATAAACGTTGGGTCCTAATAACTACTAGCTTTTACTTAAAAAAACACACCGAAAAAACACGTTGCTTTTACATCGAAATTATTAATTTGATTAACATTGACTAACGTTGGAAAATCAAATACTGAAAAATCTAACGTTTCAATCCTTTTCGTTTCCAACGTTAATCCTACGTTTTTAGAACCTAGATAGTAACTTTATTTATCGCTGTTCCAACGTTGGTATCCTCACTGGGGTAGTTTTTAGATTCTAAAGAACTAAACTAATTCTATCAGTTACTTATTTTCAATACTTTTATTGTCATTTGCACATTAAATCTTAGTTTACTTCACGTTACAAAAAGTTTGTAATCAAAACCTTTATTCGACCAAGTATACTGTTCTTAACAAAATGTTTAAAAAGTTTTAAACAAATAAGCATTTCAGAGTTTTTTAATTTGCATTTTACAATTTTAATAAAATTTTATATGATTTTAAAATAAACTCGCTATTAGGCCTATATTACTTTTTAAAAAAAAAAACAATATGCAGTGTAAAATATATCGATAAAAAAAAAAAAACTATTTTCAAATAATTTACGGAGGACGACCGCCCTCATTGACCATATCCTCCCCCCCTCCCCTCAACTTTATGGATCCACCCTTAAACTAAGTTTCTTGCATTTTTTTTATGTATTTATGCCGTCGATAATAACGCCGGATTGTGCAAAACGACGATTTGCATTGACCAGTATGATGACTTGTTTGTTGAAATAAAATGTAAACCACGTTATATGTATGATAAATTACATGTAATATGAGGCTTAAGTATAGCTAAAAATGTGGAAATCTATTATCAAACACTCTCTAATTCTTAAATCTATTTCTAAATTGTCTTCAAAAAAAATAGCCGAAAAAAGTATTTCATTTGTTTCTGGTTTTGCTTTTTCTGCATACATAACGTCCAGTGTTGTATACAGCAAAAATGAGTTACCAAATAATGTGTTTCAACCATTAATTAACAAAAGAATTTTATATCAGTATTCAACTTGTCCTTTCTGCTGCAAAGTTCGTGCTTTTCTTGATTACTATGACTTAAACTATGACATTATTGAAGTCAATCCATTTTCAAGGAAAGAAATCAAATTTTCTGAATATGACAAAGTACCTATTCTTAAAGTAGATAATCATCAAGTAATAACTATATATTTTTATTCCTAAATTTTGTAAATAAGATAAAAAAATGGTTCTGAATTTTATTATTTTAATAATAATAATAATAATAATAATAATAATAGCAATAATAATAATAATAATAATAATAATAATAATAATAATAATAATAATAATAATAATAATAATAATAATAATAGCAATAATAATAATAATAATAACAATAATAATAATAATAATAACAATAATAATAATAATAATAAATTAAAGAAAAAATGATAAGATAAAGGATACTTAAAAACATAAAATTAATAAAACAAAAATACAATTGCCATCAAAATATTCACATTAAGTAATTAAATTTTAAATTTTAATAAATTTTTGACATAAAGTTGAAGTTTAAAGATTGTGAAATTCAGATTTATCAGTATGTTTATGATAAGTAAAAGTTTTTAATGAGTGGTAGTTAAAGATTCATTTTTTTAAATCTAATAAAATATTAAACATTCTTGAATTGTGTGATTTAGTTGTAAATTAGTTAATATTTTGTTTTTAAATTTTATATCATTACTTTTAGCTCAACGACTCTTCATTAATTATAAGTGTTCTGTCTACACAATTTATAAAGAATGAAGATATTGGTATTATTCTTCAATATTATCCAATTATTGAATCTACCAATGAAAAAGGGAAAAAAGTAACAGAGCAGCAAAACAAATACAATGTGATGCATCATGAAACAAGTAATGCAGAAAAGTATCAATATTACATGTAAGTTTTATGTTTTCATTTTACTCTGTTTAAAATGAAAAAAGTTTAAGTGATTTCCTACTAATTTATATATATATATATATATATATATATATATATATATATATATATATATATATATATATATATATATATATATATATATAGATATATATAGATATATATATAGATATATATATTTATGCTCCTTAAGGTTTAATGCCAAGTTGAACCTATTATGAACCCATGTTAATTACAGTTTAGCAGTATTCATAGAGATCAGAGTTTTATAATATCCATAAGTTTATCAAGCTTTGTTTTTGAAGATTTTTACACTTTTTGCAGAAATGATTTCTTCTAGTAGTTTATTCCACAATTTTTCATCTCTGTTAGTCAGAAAATTTTCCCTTGGTTTGTTTCTTTTTATAAGTTCAATATGTACACGTGCTTTATGTCCTCTTATGTTTGTAGCTGGACCATTTGCTGAAATAGAAATTGCTGCTTTTAGTTGTTGATACCAAAAAAACTTTGTCCAAATTATGAAAAATTTTATAATATTGAAGTAAATCATATATTATTCTCCAAGTTTTTAAGGAAGTTAGTTGGAATTTTTTTAACCTTTCTTCATAGCGTAGATGCTTAAACTATGGAATTAATTTAGTTGTTTGTTGTTGAACAATTTCTAATTTATGTATATCATTTTTATTATAAGGATTCCATATTGGTGATGCATATTCAAAAATAGGTCTTACAAAAGTGCAGTAAAAAAAAATCTTGATTGTGTTTTTGTTTTTGTAAGTAAATAATTTTATTAATTGACCTAATCAACTATTTGCTCTATTTATAACCGTATTAACACACTAATGTCTTTTTCTATAGTTGTCGCACCTAGTTTTGAATCTTTTATATAATATTCAAAATTCTTATCATGTTTTCCAAAATGCATGATTTTAGATTTTCTGATGTTGAAATTTATCATCCATTTGTCAGACCATTCATTTAGAATTATATATATATATATATATATATATATATATATATATATATATATATATATATATATATATATATATATATATATATATATATATATATATATATATATATATATATATATATATATATATATATATATATATATATATATATATATATATATATATTTACATATATATATATATATATATAAATATATATTTATATATATATTTATATATATATGTATATATTATATATATATATATATATATATATATATATATATATATATATATATATATATATATATATATATATATATATATGTATATATATACACCTATAGTTTGACATCAAAATTTGCCGTTTATGGTAAAAAAAAAACAGCTCTTCAACTCTTTGTTTTAAAGAAGACAAAATAAATTAGGGGAGAGTGGTGTACTTTGGTATTTTCAAACTTTTACAAATATAAATAAATACTTACAATATGTTCTGTAACAATATATTTTCTTTAGCTTGATGATATTAGTTACTCTAGGATTTTTTTATTGAACATTCAGACATATTTTTTCATCCCTTTTTTTAATTTTAAAAAATAGCTTACACTACCGCCAAGGTACACCATTGGTGGTGTACATTGGAGGTATGTATATTGTACCTTGGAGGTATTACTGTTTTAACAGATTTAGTACTCAACATTAGTAGAATTTTGATATAATGTTTGCCTAAGGATAACTGGACATCACATCAGCCTTATTTGAGAAAGTTAATCTAACTAGTTATATTTATATAAACTATATATTAATTTACATTAATGTTGAATTTATTAATAAATTTAAAATAAAAATTAAAAGAAATAAAGTTGATTAAAAAAAGAATAATAACAAATAACTACATTAAAGCTTAGTAATATTAAGTCTTTCATTTTTAGCATTGCATTCAGGTTATCAAAGTTAATGCTGGATGATGGTTTTTTCAGCTGTTGTTCTGAACCTCAAGTAATAGAGGGATGGAGCAACTGAAAGACCATGTCTGGTTTATCCAACTCATACACAGTTTTATAATCTCTTTGATAATTCGAGAAAATTATCAAAGAAAAGATAACAATTTGAGAATAATAATTACAGTTTAAGAAAGAAATACACACATCATATTATACTAAAGAAATTCTTAATAAACAAAACAAAACAAAAAAATCATAAAAAACTATAACAACATATTACCACGGCTTTTACAAAATTGCTACCATATTTAAAGGTTTTATTATTTTTTAGAAATTAGGCAGTTTTAATCATGCATAAATGCAGCTGAAAACATGCTATACAAATTTTGATAATCACTTTTAAAATAAAGTTTATACCAACAGTTGTAGAAAAAAAAAAGAATTTGCCTTATAAAAGTTAAAGCAAAAAGTTATAAATCAACTAACAAAGGGGTAAAACATGTGAGGAGTGCTGCTACATGAACTAACAAATAGGTAGAACATACAAGGAATATATATGAATATATATATATATATATATATATATATATATATATATATATATATATATATATATATATATATATATATATATATATATATATATATATATATATATATATATATATATATATTTAGAAATGAAGTATAATTTATAATTTAATTTAATTAAAAAATATAATATAATTTAGAAATGAAGTAAAATGGCGCAAATGGGTAGATGATGTATTTATTCACACTTTATCTCCAAACATATACCGAACAATGAAGGAATCCTTCCAATCCCTAGACTACATTACTCATGTTGGAAATTTTGGGCCAATTGAGCGAACCGTAGCTTATTATTCTGGTGCTGTTGCAATGTATATCATTGGGAAACGTATTAAAAAAAGGTTTTTAACTTTTTTATATTTTATTTTTAAAATATCTTTGTTTTTTATCAACATTTTTTAGTTAACATTTTTTCAAATTAAAATTATAATTGAGTTATTATTTTAATTTTTTTTTGTATGGAAGGTAATAAAAAAAAGGTGTGCAGGATATCTGCTATTCCAATTTTAATCATCAGAATTTATTTTAAAGCTGAGACACATGCAATTTACTATTTTTAAATAAGTAAATTTGTGTATTTTAACTCAGAAAATATTTGAATGCCTCAATATTAAATTAATTAAACAATATAACTGGGAGATTTTACAGGGTCTTTGATTATCACATGAGTATATGAAAAAACTCTAGATTTTTAAAAGTTAAGAGAATTCACTCTATAAACATTTAGTTATTTTTCCTAAAGTCTCAAATTTCTGAAGAATTTAATCAAAATATTTGTAATAATAACAATAAGTTGATCTTTTAGCTTCTAAATAATTAATCTCTTTGAAAATTTGAAAGTTTTTCCAGAATGTCTTATTACGCAACTATCATTTAATATATTGGTAAAGTATATTAGAAACTAACTTGTATGCACTATTAGATTGCACTTTGCCTTAGATTCATAGCAATTATCTAAATCCAGATCATACACGAAAATAAATAAGCCACAAACAGAAGTTGTAAGTATGTCTAGTTCATATTTTTGTATATATGGGAATAAATTTTGTATATATGAGAATAAATTGCATATGGGCTATTCCACATTGTACTAAATTTAGGAATTTTAGGATTTGATGTTTTAACTTTAAACAAATTTTTTAGACTTCAAATTTAAATTATTTTTCTAGTAAATCTTTTTGAAGCCTTTTTTTTTTAAACTTTTTTAAATTTCTATGTAGATTTATTTCACACAAAATATAGATGGGGCTCTTTTCAAGTTGAAAATTTATTATAATAATTAAATAGTCTTTCGTTGACATGACATTTTTTAAAAATAAATTTTTTAAAGACTAATTTTTATAAAAATGTTACGCAAAAAACATGTTGGTTTAACATTTGCAGTATTTTTATTGTTTTTTATTTGTGGATAAGTTTTTAAACCTCCTTTAATATAACTAAAATTGTTTTTTTGTTTTTTTTTATTATACTTGTAGGTGTACCTGTAAATATGTAGACATATTTTACTAACACCTTTGTTATTTAGTTTTTCTTAAATTTTGTTGCACCATTGCTGAAGTTATTCTGAATGTTTATACAATTCTTATAAAAAGTAAACTTTCACAAACAAATTGTTTATTTTTCATTGAAAGTAATGAATATGCCTCTGACACATGCTGAACGCCAGAGAATGTATAGAGAAAGACAAATGCAAAAATTTGGTCTGGATTTTATAAAGGAAAAGGACTCCGTTCGGAAAAAAGAAAAACAAAATTCTAATGTTGAATAAGCACTTTTAAAGAACAAGTTAAGAAAAAAAAAGAGTAGAGTTTCTTCATCTAAAATTACATCTAACATCTCTTCTGCTTACAAATCATCTTGTACACTTGCTAAAGCTGTTAAAATAGCAGTACGTGCTCTTCCAACTTCTCCTCTTAAAAAATCAACTGTTGTTAAACAACTTGCAATTCAGTTCAACAAAGATTTACCAGATATGCAACCAACACATGGACCTAATGCACTTAATGATGAAACGAAGCTATGCATCATTAGTTTTAGCCTACAAATGTTTGTTTATGTCAAAAACATGAAAACATTATCTTGTCACTCAAAGCATTACATTTCATCAATTTAAAAATTCCCATTTATTCGCATGCTTTACCAAATACTTTAGTGTGTGGCAAGAAAAATGATAATTGTTGGAATAATCTTTGTGAAGCTTGTAAGGACGGAAAGTTATTTCTCAAAACATACCAATTAGATAAAAAAAACCACGATAAAGAAATTACCTGGTACCTTTGAGAGTAAGGTATGCAACTTAATGGAACTAAGTACCTCGAAAAAGCAATAAAAAAGACAAAGCCATAATTTTGTATAACAATGTTTGCAAAATGCTACCCAAATTTCTTTTGTATTGTTTTATAAAAGGAAAACAATCAATGAGTTATGAAAACCAAAAAAAAGTTTTAAAAAGCAATTTTGGTTCAGTTTTGTTACAAGTTGATTTTGTAGAAAACAAAGTCAACTTGTAACAAAACTTCTCAACTTTCGGGCAGAAAGAAGTTCAGTCAGCACATTGGAACAAAAAATTAGTAACATTTACTGCTGTTAGCTGGCATGGTGATTGTAAATCTTTCGTTATTATTTCTGATAATTTGAACCATTCAAGAAGTTCAGTTATTTATTTTATTGATTTGTTAATAACTAACCTTATTCAGGGTGGAAAATAAGGAATTGAAGGCCAGCAGTCAATTTGACCGGCTAACTCAAGGATTTGATGGTCAATTGTTTTTTTGGACGGTCAAAATTGTTTTTCTTTTTTCTTTGTTTAAATAAAAAAAAAGATGTTAAAGCGAATTTACTTTGATCTTTTGTAATATGATATAGCCTGGTTTTTATCTTTTTTTTAAAATGTTGTTTTTTAAAATTTCAATTACTAATTACACTTTGATAATATTAATTTTAATACTTTTAGTTTTATTAAAGTATATAAAAAAGTAGTTTTAATTAAAAAGTTATTTTATTAGTTAAAGTTTGTTAATAAAAACCAGTAACTTTTTTTTTTTTTTTTTCTTCTTTCGCTTCAATGACCCTGAATCAATCTTCATGACTAAACTTTATAAAACCATAAAAAAAGGTTTGAAAAATAAGACTTGAAGAATAAAAAATTGTTTTAATAATAGGAATTTTAAATAAAATTAATGCTTTTTTTAAAAGCGCAAACTGGCAATTTATAATTTTAAATTTATTTTAAAATAATTGATTTCATTGCAATGACTTCGCAAATCGCGCGAAAAGTTGCACGAAAAATAATAGAAGAGATTCGATGAAAAAAAAAGTATAGTTGAGATTATGTTCTTAATTGCACATGATAATTTTGAATAATAATGAAATGAATCTCTAAAGGTAAAGAAGAAATACTTTTGCACATTTTATATCTCTTGTTCATTAAAAGCTTTTCAAAAACTGCTAATATTAATTAGTTAATAATAATATTACTAACTCTTGTTTGCAACTTAAAATTTAAGTTTAAACATTTTAATTTAAACTGTTTAAACTGAATGTTTAATACTTTAAATATTTTTAAACATTCGTCTTTTTGGTATTAAACAATTTGTTTAATGAAACAAATTTTAAAATCATAAACAATTTGTTTAATAAAACACTATAAAAATTATTAAATTTAGATAAAACGAGATTTTTAATAAATTTTTGCAGCAAATTGCAACTAAATGAATGAATGGTTTATAGATTAACTAAAAATTACTAATTGAGCGCTTGTGTTTTTTTTTTTTTTAATGTAACAGGATTATTAATATATATATATATATATATATATATATATATATATATATATATATATATATATATATATATATATATATATATATATATATATATATATATATATATATATTTAAACAATTTAAAATGTATTCTACAAAAAGAGTGCTCAATGTTCTTAAAAGAACAGAGCAATTACAAATTAGTAGAAAATCACTTAGCAAAATTTTTTCTTATTTAACACTGTGCTTCATCAATAAAGACTCATCAGAAATGATGAGTCTTTATTGATGAAACACAGTGTTAAATGAGAAAAAATTTTGCTAAGTGATTTTCTACTTATTTATATATATATATATATATATATATATATATATATATATATATATATATATATATATATATATATATATATATATATATATATATATATATATATATATAAGTTTTAGAATTTTAGAATCTTTTAGAATCTTTCTTTTAAAATCTTTTATTTTGAATTATATTTAATTTAAAATTAACTTTTAAAATATATTTTTTAGAATCTTTCATCTGAAATTATATTTATTTTAGAATTAACTTTTAGAATCCTCATCTGGAATTATATTCATTTTAGAATTACTTTTTAGAATCTTTCATCTGGAATTATATTAATTTGAGAATTAACTTTTAGAATCTTTTTTGTAAAATCTCGAAGTCTTCTTATAAAGTATACTGATTTTATGGTTCAATGTTATTTCTTACTTAAACATTCTTTTTTCTTACTACTAATGTTGCATATGATGCCTCTTTATATTCTAGACTTAATACTAAGTTGACTTGTTTCCCTGTGCAGTGACCTTGTTCATCAAGGCTCATTATTTAGAATAGAAAGGTTGAGAGAGATGGTTATAACAATAAGTTAAAAAAAAAAGTAGCTGGGTAGTAAGCGAACGGGGTTGATATTTGACTGGGACGGGGGCTGGGTTTGAAAAAATATAGCGGTATTGTGACCGTAGCTACATAAACATTTATACATCTTAAAGTATACTTTTTTTATTCAAAATTCAATTATAGTCATAGTTTATCTTAATATTCAATTAAATCTAAATCATAATAAACATGTAAAATATTGTAATAAATAGTAAATAATTTGTAAAAATGCTAAACATTCACAATTCAATATTTATTGTATAATACATCCTGTTATGTAGTAAAGTATGTTGCTAATAAAGTCAGACCAATTTATAAAGTGAGCAGGAACAATAGTGTCATGTTAATATTATTTCTAATTAATATTAAATATTTAGTATTGCTGATATGAAATTTCAATTTGGGAGTTACAGTACTAAAACATACTTTAATTCTTTATTTGATTTACTTCAAAAGTATGTTGACATCTAAAGCATTATTTAAATGTTTGAAAAGTACAAATAAACTGACACGCAGAATTGATATTTATAAATTGTTAGAAATGTGCAAATAAACTCAAACACAGAATTGATATTAATCAACTGTAAAGAGATTAAACCTCCAACAACTTGTCTAAAATAATAAAAATAAAAATACCCATGATAACTTTGTAATATATATTGCCATATCATTGGAATTCAAAATAATAATGGATTTTATAATAATAACTTTATCTTTACATTATCTTGTTCATAAGTATCAAGTTAATTTATTTTTTTATTATTTTTTAGTAATTTTTAATCATTTTTTAAATTTTTTTTATTTATTAATTATTCGTAATTGTTAAACTTCTTTTGTCTAATTTTTGACTTTTTATCAAAAAACATTTTGTTTTTCACTTTTGATTTTTGATATTTGAATATCGTGAACATTTTAATTTCAATAAATACTTCCAAGCTTTTACTAAACTTTCAAAGTTCAAAAAAAATAATAGCAGAGAACTGAATACAACTGAACACTTTGTAATTAAATCTCCACAATCCCAGCCTCTTTTAACAATCTGTTTAAAAAAAACCATGTCGTTGCTAACAACCTCCAATCTACTCTCTTTTTTTAGATACCATTTAAAAGATGATGTGCGTGCTAGTATGTACGAAGAAGCACAAAACTGGACAAAAGCTGTCGGAGAAAACAAATATCTCGGCGGTAGTCACCCAAATCTTGCAGATTTAGTAAGTAAACTTTATAAAAAAAAAATTCAAAAGGAAGACTTTTTAAATTTTTTTTCCAGATTTTTTGGCTGCAGCTATTTAATCTAATGATAAGGTGAATGGTAAACAATAGTCACAAATCAAAATTTATCTATAACATCATTCAAAAATCTTTAAATATATTTAAAAATATATTTCAATATTTTCAATCTAAATATTTATTGATTTAAGGGATGACATCTTCTTTGAGAGTATTTATATATTCTATTTTTATATAATGTTTTAGAAATATTAAAATATTCAGTTTCATTAAATACTAATAATTTTGTATTTCTTAATTTTTCACTATATTCTTCCTAATTTTTCATCAACTTGTTAAATAATTCAATAATAAATAATAATAGTTAGGAAAAATAAATAAAAATAAAATTATTAAAAAAAATAATAAATCATGTTTTAATTCTTATATAAATTTATTAGTTATATTTAACATTTATTTTTTGCAGAACATGTATGGTGTTATATCAGCAATTGAAGGATTGGATGCATTTCATGACCTAATGGCAAATACTGAGATTCAGCCCTGGTATAATCGAATGAAGCAACAAGTTAAATCTCATGCTGGAGCTAATTTGATAAAAAATCAACAAAACAAGAATCACTAATTTGATAATAAAAAAGATAATTAAAAAATTATTCAACAAGTTAGCTGTTATACTTGAGTTTAATTAAAGAATTTTGAATTAAGTTAGCTATTATACTTGAGTTTAATTTTAAAAATGTAACAAGTTAGCTCTTATACTTGAGCCTAATAATAAAATATGCGACAAATTAACTCTTATACTTGAGCTAAATAAAATAAAAAAATAAAACGGTTTTTAATAAAAGTAATTTCTTTTTATATTTGGTATATTTGCTTTTATTTTACTTTCAAATAAATTTTGCTTGATATAGGAGAATATCCTAAATCTATATTGGTACAGTATTATTTCGGTTATGAATATAACTTTTTTCGGAACGCCTTTTTATGCGCTGAGCATTGTTAATAAATAATGCATAAAAATTTAACATACGCACACTTTATTGAGCCATGTTTTTTTAAAAACAATTTATATATAAACTTAAAATTCACAAAATCTGTATAAAAAAAATTCGGATGTAAAAATTTTGCTTTAGGGGATAGTTCTTCAAAAAAATAATATTAAGCAACAAATACATATTCACTATAAAAATAAATAGGAAATAATGCATCTAATGCTTTTTTGCAAATTTTTATAATGAATTATTTTATTAACAGCCGTAGCGCAATTGCATCAGAAGCTAGAGATCTGTGGTTCAACACTTCATCTGGGCAAGGTGATAATTCATTTTTGCAAAATGAATAATTGATAAACACTCCACAATTGGTATTGTCGTTTTACATAAGTATTAAATTCATTTGTCATTGGAATTTTGAATTTGTCTCGCTGGTTCAAATTATATTGACTGTTATACAGATAACTCTTAAATATGTGATACCTTGTATCACATTTAATTATTAAATGACAGATTCAACCTTATTGTAAGGCTCAAAAAAAGTAATTTTTAAATATCTTATAACAAATAAATCCTACATAAGCGAGGATCATCTACTGAAATTTTTTACTTAATTGCTCATTTTAATCTGGAGATATCATGATTTGAAATTTTTAAAAATCTAAAGGTAGTATCACAAGAAACGCAATTTTGTTCTTGAAATTTTTCATTTTAATCTTGTTTGACTCGCCTAAATTGTTTGTTATTTTTTTATGGATTTCTAAAACATTTTTTTATTTTAATTTATTTTCTCTCAAATGAATTTTGATTCTATGTTTTTAATGTTACAAATTTCATGTTAAAATGGCAGATAAACTTTGAGTAATCATTTCACAAAAGTTTGGTTATTTTTAGTTTTTAATTAGGTGATCGAGGCAAAAAGTTTCATAAAAATTAAAAAAAAAATTGTTTTTAATTTATATGACATATTTTTGTTTAAAACATTAAGTTTTACTATAGTTCCAATAAATTTTTTAAATATTTCTTGGGGTACCAACCCATGACACAACAAGAAAAGTCAAACTAAAAATCAAAATTTTAATTGTTAAAAGCAAATGTGACTTGGAAGCGCGTCCAGAAAAATCTTTAATCTATAATATATTTTGAAAAAAAACCTTTTGAAATTTAGGAATACAATTTGGCTAAAATTTGTCCTAAAACTTGTTTTAGTAACAAGAAATCCAGGGTTCCAATCGAGCTCTAGACATATTTCGCGTCATCGGTAAAGAAGAAGATATGAACTTCTGAGTTAAATGCTCTTTCCATGGTGCTCTGTGACAAGACCTGTTGTCACAGTTTTGTTTTAGTGTTTTCTGCCTTGTCACAGAAAACACCAAAACAAAAAACAAGGTCTTAGTTTTTAGTTGTTACGGCGTTGCTATGGTAAACAATCTAGCTAGCTAGTTAAAAATGTTGTGTCTTAAAAACTTTTTGTTTGATGCAAACTTTAAGATTTCACCAGAAAGAGGATAAAAATTTACGCATAAATAACTATTTTTTAAATTTGGTCAATAATCTACATTTTTTTAAAGGATTACCACCTTGAAAGGTAATTAGATATATTAAGTACTATAAAACGGGGTGAATAGGGACATTAAAGTAAATAGGGACAGAAACCAGAAAAGTTTTATAGATATTCATAAAATGACAGTAAAACCTAATAAACCAGTAAAAAAAAAATTCCAATCAAGTATGACTCAGGCCCATTGTGTTGGTAAAATGATGATTATGCTGTGACACAAAAAATTGGAATGAACCATGTGAAAAAATGATGATTATGCTGTGACACAAAAAATTGTAATGAACCATGTGAAAAAATGATGATTATGCTGTGACACAAAAAATTGTAATGAACCATGTGAAAAAAAGTATGTATAAAAAGACTTTTTTTGTCAGGCAAAAAAATTGAAAGTGTAATTGTGAAACTTTACCAAATTGTTGCATAAGTAATTTGATGAAAATGTAAGAAATTACAGAGCATATATCTATATATATTATCTAATATATTTTAATTTATTTCAAGTTGAAAAGAAAAAATATCCAATACCTAGGTGAAATGGGACTGTGAAGTCTGTTGTCGAATGTGTTCAGAACTCAAGAAAGAAACGGATATTATATTTTGGCCGAGTTGATCAATTTTTTGTACTCAAAAAAATGTCTTGTAACATTATTCTATAGCCATCTTGGAATATAATACCATAAACAGTGAAACCTGAGCCATCTTTTTTTAGTATTAGAGGTATTCCATGAGAAAGTGGGACAGGTATGTAACCCACCATCTCAGATTTTCTTCAAACTTTGTAAAAATGGTCATCTATATAACATAGATTAGCTTGCAAAATTTTAGCACTGATATCAAAGGGGTTTTGGAGTTATTGTTACTTTAAAATCAGCTATTTTTAGCAGTTTTTCCTGTTCGGCAGCCATTTTGATTTTACTATAGTTTTTGTTTTACAAGTTACTGTTTAACTAAACATGTAATTAAGCTGAAAATGAGCCCCAGTATAGGGGCTATTTTAGGACGAGGAATCAGAATATAATATTTATTTTTAATGAGAATATTTAGAACTATATCAATATGGCGAATATCACCTACAGATATTTTTGAAATTTTAACAAAGGCAAAAAGGAGGTCTGGTAACCATGGTAGCATTATTTTTTTGTGATTTTTTTGTTTTTGTTTTTATTAAAAAAGATATTCTAATGAGTTTTTTGGTGAAAAATGTAGAGGTGGGTTTTTTGAAATTTTTTGTAAAAATATAGGAGTATTATGTGAAAAAATAAGTATTATAGGTTTGTGTTTATGATTTTATTTTAAATTAATTGACATTTACAATTTTCATCAGTTATCAAAAATATTATACTAAAGAAATCCTTTTTACCTATTATTTAAAGAAACTTTAATTCAAATGAATACTTCTTTTTTAAATAAATTTTTGCTTTCTAATTAATGACATATTATGTCATATTTGACTAAAACAGAAGAAAAACTCAATATTTAAAACCCTAAGAATTAGTCTGATTAGTCTGATGTTTTACCAGCTGTTGTTTGTTCTCTATAGCTAATCAAAAAAATTAAAAAAAAAATTATAAAATCAAAGTTAAAAAAATAAATACATAAAATACTATATATTGTATATATTTAAAAATACTAATTTTAAATGGTAAATATTTTTTTCATTTTTAATAAATGTATTAAATATGTCTGTGTATTTTGTGTTTATTTATAGCTTAATAAAAATATGAAAAAAATAAAATGAACAAGATTTTATGTACAGTTGGTATTTTATCAAATGATCAATGTCATAAAATGGTGTACACTAAATTAATTGGATTGAAAGATTTATCAAGCTATTCAGAGAAAGATAGAAATTTATTATTATGGAGATCTGGGCTATCAATATTAAATGCTAATGTTAAAATCTGTTTACATCATGAACAAATTTTACTTAACCGGTTTGCTAACTCCCAAAAAAATTGCATCGACCCATTTAAAAAGCATAAAACTAATATAAATGGTAAATTTTTACGTTTTTAACTTATTGTGGTGTCTTTTTACAAAAAATACATTTAGTACACTTTCAATTAGTTTTAAAAATTTTGGCAAATTTTATTCATTGATAAAATATTTATTGGTGGTTTGCGAGAAATTGATACTCAACTGACAAAAGATATGTGTTCAATTGGTATTAAAACAACACCTGGTTTTCAAATGTGTCCTTCATGTCGAAAAGAAGTGGTAAAAAAATAGATAATTGGTCTACCTTACAGGATCACAATGGTGAAGATGATTTTCTGAAACAAACATTTTTTGATGAAGATATAGAAATGGCACAAGAAAAAGAACTTATAAACACCTATTTTGATAAATTAGATGTATCGCCAGTAAAATTTTATGGGGTTCCACAACATGCTAAAATTTCTCTAGGAAAAAGAAAACTAATGCAAGCTACTGATGTTATGTCAAAAAAGCTATGAGTTATCCTCAATGTTAACGCAACAGACCTGAAAAATGATGTGACTGGGGAGCCCAATGTTGAAAATTAGATGAAAGCTGAAGATCTAGATAAATTGATACTTTCAATGCAAGAAAAGCTGAAAACAGCAAATAGAAGAGGAAAGATTCAGATTTTAATATTGGTTCCAGATTCATGGTTTTTAAGGAAAGCAGCTGAAGTATTTAATATATCAAAATCAACCATAACTAAAGCAAGAAAACTTAAATTTGAAAAAGGAATATTAACACTTCCAGAAAAAACTAACAATGTTAGAATTAAATCAGATATCATTAATAAGGTGGAAAGCTTCTATTGTATTGATCAGTTTAGTAAGCAGTTACCAGGTATAAAAGATTTTGTAAGTGTATCCAAAAACAAACATGTATCAAAGCGATTACTTCTTTGCAATTTAAAGGAATTATTTATTGAATTCAAACTAGAACACCCTCAATCCAAAATTGGATTTTCTAAATTTGCTCAGTTAAAGCCAAAATGGTGTATTTATGCTGGTCAAAAAGGAACCCATGCTGTTTGTATATGCGCAAAACACCAAAACCTAAAGCTTATGCTTAGCGCAGTTAAACTGGAGAAAAATTACCATGAACTTATTGAGAAGATTGTTTGTAGCAGAG